TCTGGGGAATGCGCATGAAGCCAGGGCAGGGATGATCATAACTTACGGAAGGTCCTGATTTGGTTGGACCCATGTCTGGGCTCAGAATGAGACGGCCCTGTTTTGATGGCTGGCTGCCCGTGTGCACTGAAGAGAAACACCCCGCAGGCTGTTCACGCGCAGGCTCGGGCCACAGGGGTGACATGATGGAAGGGCACTTCAGTCTCAGTTTCCTTTGTAAAGTGCCAGTCTCACAAGCCTCTCTGCTTTACCCTGGGGGTGCCTGCCCTGATGGAGGAGGGCGGCACCTGGGCAGCCAGTCCCCAGGACCAGCTGCATGGTGCTGAGTCAGACTCCTGTGGCCGAGCGCTCGGGAGAAGATCCCAGGCCCTTTCCCCACGGGATCTCTGGGTGGGCACTACCCTCAAACTGCGGTTTGGCATGCGCAGCAGGGTGTCCTTCTGGGAGCTCCATGCTCGTGGTGGGGCGGCAAGGCCAGACTGCCCACAGATGCCAGGCCTGTAGCTCGGGTGGCAGGTGTGGGGAGCGTGTGCACAGGTTGGAGTCGGGACGGCTCAGCTGTCCAACGGGTTCCCCTGGCAGACACCCCTCATTCACACGCTATCTCGGCGTGGGGCAGTGACCCTCCACGTGAGGAGGCTGGAAGAGCCAGGGGTCACCAGCAGCAAGGCCTCCTCACGAGGTGAGCATGGAGGGGCAGTTTGTAAATAGGACCACCGTGGTGAGGCACCACTGGGCCGATCTCGGCTCCTGGCGACCCTTTAGGGCAGAGAGCAGAGCTGCCCCATAGGGTGGCCGAGCCTATACATCCTTACGGCAGCAGACGGCCTCCTCTGTCCCCTGAGGGGCAGTTGGTAGGCTTGAGTTAGGAGCAGGTACTTTAACACTGTGCTACCAGGGTCTATAAATTAGGAGCCTTTGCATCAAAGGACATCTTCCACTATATGTACTTACATGTACGTTACAAATGCACAGGTAGGTATGTTTCCAAATCTAAAGAACAACCACAAAAAGAACAAAGAGAAAAGGGCTTCAGACTGGGTCTGTTCGTCGCCAAGAGCACAGGGCAAATAACCCCAGAGACAAGCCCGCGGACCAGGACCCAGCCACGGACTCACACCCAGCTCATGCCTCTCCACGTTTAGAGAAGCCACGGGGCACTTCCACAGCCTCTGCCTGCCGGTTCTCAGCCGCGCTGCAGGCCCTCCCGAGCTGCCCGGCTGCCAGGCTCGCCCTCCTGGGTGGGCCTGCCCCTGTCCCCAGTCCCACTCCTGGAACCATCAGCTGGGGCCCGACCACCAGCCAACAGTGCTGGGATCTCTGAACCCCTGTCTCGACTCTGTTTGGCAACCATAAAGCTATGTTTGAGTTTACGGGCATCTGTCTGGGTTTCCTGCCTGTGGCTCCCACAGGGACAATCGATAGACGCGATGAGAGCCGGAAATCATGGAGGGAGACTTCCGATGATGACGGTCGTTGTTGTCGTCAGGGCCTGTTGGGTCGGTTGTGACAGAGAACAACAGTATGAGTTCTGCTACGTTCTTCTAAATGCCCCTCTGGCCTGTAGTTGCGTTCAGGGAACCTGAAGCTGTAACACGGTGCTGGACCACATGGTGGGGGTGGAGGGGGTCTGCGGGTATGTTAGGGGCAACGCCACCGGCCTCTTTAAAACCACCAGGGCGTTTCTGCAAAGTTATGCCAGCCGCTGGCCTTGGGTGATTGGATCAAAACCTCTTTCCAATCCCTGGTGGTCCCTTAAGCCTTTGAGAAACATACCACCCACTTTTCTGAACCCAATGAGCGCTTTGGATTGAATTTCTGGTTTTATCGTCTAAGTTCCTTTTAAAATGGGAAGTTGGGGGTTTTGTGCACCCTGGTGCAAAGCTCCAGTACAGTACCACTTTTAAATCCGGGAATGTGCATGGGGCAGTGACCCCATGTGGGGGTCATGGAGTATTTAAGGAACTCACTTCGTGCTTGGTCGGCAAGCACCGGCCTCTTCGTGCCCCAGGGTATTCTCAGTGACCCCTTAGAAAACCCTAGATCCCCTTAGTAAGATCCAGGTGCAGCTACTCCCCGCCAATGTCTCTCGTCTAAAGACCCACAGCTGACTCTGAGCTGTTGTTTTTACTCACTGCCAAGGGCTACCATTCTCAGACTCCCAGATGGTCACTTAGGGCAACGGTCCTGGGTTTCCTTGGGAATTGGCACTTGGGGGCCCAGAATCCTGGCCACTGCTCAGGGGCTGGGCACCAGGTGTTGTGGGTACCTGGCCAAACTCAGTCCTCCTGGCTGTCCCTGAAGGAAGCTGGAGTTATTATTTCCTCTGTTACTGTTCCAGCGTCGGGGATTAACAGAGGTGGCCACTAGTGCACACTGCTGTGTTCACACCCAGGGCAGGGGAATGGACGACCACCGGGACCAGGGCCTGCCCTGGGGGATGAGGGTGGAGCTTCATGGGGGTGGGGGCCAGAGGCTGGCCTTGAACTCGTGTGGTTGATGGCTCGGGGTGGACAGACGGCCTGCAGGCTTCATTCCCGAAGGTTTGGTTGAATGCCGGTCCCTGGAGGGCCTTCTGCTCCACGGTGAAGGGTGCAGAGCCACGAGTCTGTTTCTACCTCGATGCTTCTGTTTCAGGAATCCCATCAGAACACCGTCTTTATTCCAGTCTGGTGCTGGCCCATCCTCATCATGGCTCTGCCGCAGCCACAGCGTCTGCCCATCTCGGCGAGGGCCGTCCTCTTGTTCACTGACCGTCCACTTTACATGCACGCTGTCCTTGTCCGGGGACAGGTCCCTCCTGGTGGCATGTCCAAAGTGTGCTTCTTTCTGTTGTGGAGTCTCTCTGAGTCAGAACAGACTAGACGGTATCAAAGAACAACATTCACGTGTGTATGAGACAGCTGAAAACACAGTGCGTGCGTGAGCCGGGTGCCCCCTGGCCCTCAAAGGGACCTCCCTGCTGGCGGCCTGTGGTGCAGAAGCTATGTGCTAGGCTGCTAACCTCGCAAGGTCAGTGTCAGAACCCTCCAGCTGCTCTGTGGGGAAAAGACGAGGCTCTCTGCTCCTGCCAAGATTTCCCAGCTGGGCAGCCCACAGGGGCAGTTCCACTTTGTCCCGATGAGTCAGAATCAACTTCACAGCAGTGGATTTAGATACTGATGCTCACAACATAAAACAGACGATTTCCAGAAATAAACCACCTAATTCAATTCCACAACATGGAGGGACAAGCTAACAACTGTGAAAAAAACACTTGCAAGTCAGATGAGGGGCTTCAAACCATTTGTGGAAACGTTCCATTATCTTTTAACCCAACTTTCCCCGGACCTTCGTGAAGCCCCCTGGTGACCCTGATACAGGGTGTGCCTCTGACTGAGGTGTGGGCTGCCACAGCACAGCTGCCTCTGGCACCTCCACAGGGGGACACACAGTGACCACTGACCACCGTTCCACTCGGAGGAGATGCCCAGAAAAATCTGAAGTCCCAACAGCCCGTCTATTAGCCCCGTTTGGCCTGGTGGGGTAAGGGTGGAGGGCACTTACTGAGGTTCCACTTGAGGCCCGTGGTGGTCACATGCCTGCATGGCTCCCCAACGGGAATCAGGCCACACCAGTCCCCTTCCAGCCCGGTGTCCACTCGAAGTCTGTGCTTGCCCTGCAGGAGGGGGGAGACCAGGCACCTCGTCACCTGTGAACCCCCGAAGACATCACCCTGAATTACAGAGGCAGGGCCTGGGCAGCATACATGGCCCCTGCCCTGGTCACTGCACTGCCCGTCGAAGGCAGCTAGAGGAACCAGGGGCCGCCTTCCAGTTGTGTTTATTCTACAGCCTGGTCAGTCCTGTGGGTGACATGGGCACTGAGGAAGACTAGCCAGGCTGTGGCCTTCACATAGAAGCTCCTGTTGAGCACTGATGGGGCCGTGCTGGACCAGTCCCTGCACAGCCCACCTGCGTGCAGCTCTCCATGACTACAGGACTGTGCGTAGGCACTGGGCAGCTGCAGGGCGACGCTCCAGGCTCATCTTGTACTCTGTCCACAGCTTTCCCAGGACGACAGGCTATCCACGGGCACTGGCTCATCTTGTACACAGGTGGGTTTGGGCAGAGTTTTGGTTGGAGCTTACTCTTTGCTCTGCCAGGGCGGGAGCAGCAAGACTCTAGATGCCCATTCCTCATAGAGGCTAAGGGCACCGCTGCTCCACCAGAGCCGGCTGTTGAAGATACTGGGCTGCTCACGGTGAGTCAGGTAGCCGAGTTCACACAGCAGATCCGTTTTCCACCCAGCACACTGTTTCATGTCTTCGGGTGCCCCGCCCACAGCCAACCATCTCTTCTCCCGCTTCTTCCCTGTGTCCTGTGTCCTCTCCTTCCTAACCCTTGGCTGTAACATGGTTCCTCCATAGGAGGAACACCCCCAGGGAATTACAAAGTCCCTCTACCATGGACAGACTCCACCCAGCAGGGCGTTCACAGAAGACGGCTGTCTTGCAAAGCAACGAGCGCATCTTCAGAAGCGTGTTCTGTCCAAGGCAAGGCCATGAATGGTGGGCGCCTGGCACGGGGCTCGCTCGGAAACCAGGTCTGTCTCCGTTCTGAGTTCTGATGACAACCCTCGGGGGGTGGGGCCCGTGAGACCCGCACATCAGCATCAGCACACACAGCTCTCGTTCATTCTTGGCGAGCCCCCCACCCCTGCCCCTGCCCCAGGCCTCCCCTGCTCCCAGGCCCCTCACCGGCTGGAGCAGGCAGACCAGCGACTCCTCCTGCATGATGAGCACAGGCAGCCGGGTGATGCTGGGAGCCTGGAACAGGGTGTTCAACGACGCCATGGTCTGGTCGAAGCGCCCCGCAAGGCCGCCCAGGGTCACAACCACGTCCACCTGAGTGGGACCACCGGCGTTAGGAGGACAAGCAGGGGCTGGTGGGGAGGTAGGGCGTGCATGCGGGGGTGCCCCAGGCAGGCACATGTGCACCGCGTGCATGGCAGGGTGGGGGCAGCGGAGAAAGGAGCCCAGGTTTGAGTCACTGTCTCCCAGACCCACGAGAGGTCCTCAGGGTGTGACCTCCGAGGGAGCAGGCAGGTGAGCGAGGACATCTGCTCCGAGTGTGGACAGGGGCATCCACACACAGGGCAAAGGTTGAGAGCCGGGGCCTGAGTATGCGAGTGTGACTGTGTGTGTGGAGTGTGTGTGTGTGTGTGTTTTGTATCAGTGTGTGACAATGTGCGTGTGACTACACGTGTGTGGCTGTGAGTAACTGTATGTGACTGCATGACATGCTTGTGATTATGTGTGTGATTGTGTGTGGGACTGTGTGTGTGACTGCACATGTGTATGACTGTGTGTGTTTGTGCTTGTGTGTGTGCAACTGTGTGCAAGCTTGTGTGTGCTTGTGACTGCATGTGCACTTGTGATTGTGTGTGTGTGTGTGTGCGCATGTGCACGAAGCTCACCTGGCTCGCCCGGATCCTGCCCTGCAGCACCTGCAGGCACTTGGTGAAGTCGGTGTGGTTCTGGTCTGGGGTGGCAATGATCTCACAGCCCTGCGTGGTGAAGAACAGAGACTGGGCTCAGCCGGGGGCAGAGGAGAGAAGCCCGGCTGGTGCAGCCCATGCCTGCTGTCCCCAGCTGCTGGAAGCGCTGTCTCAGCGTGGGCTGGTGAGGGCCAGCACCTTACCCAGAGAGAGAAGAGGGCGAGGGCCTTTGGCCTAAGAATGGTGCCCCAAGCGTGAGGACAGGGAGGTCCCCTGGGATTGAGAGGGCACGTTCATGGATGGAAAGTGAGTGTGACAATCGCATCAAGGTCAAAGTGTCAACTGAAGGAAAGATCAGGCTCCCAAGCATCCACTGCAGTCCCCCCAGCCTGCACCTGCCTCCCCACACCACCTAAGAGTCCCTGGGGTGGGGGGCAGGGGGCTCACTTCCTTGAGGTGCTGGAACCAGCAGGGAACAGAGCAGTGAGAGAGTGTGCAGGAGGCTCAGGCCACACACGGTTGCCTCGGGAGATGTCAGGGTGCCCTCAGCTCCCTGACAGTGGAGCTCAGGAAGCAAGCAGCCCTCTGATTCCCCAGAGGGCACTCGGGACGCTCACAGGAGGAGGGAAGTGGCCCCAGCTCATTTCCTTGTTATACGATTTAGTGACATCTTCAGTAATGTAGCAAGATCGTATGCTTTCTTTTAAGATCCCAATGAATGTGTGTTTGGTAAGTCTCTTACACATACACACGCGCACACACACACACACACACACACACACGGATACTTATCTGCTGGTGCTGATATTTCTACCATTTCACTTGTCAATCTCTGGATTTCCATTTGAAGGAAAATGGGAAAACGCGGGTAGAAGTAAGGGTTGGGGAGGTGGGGGTCCCCACCTGGGCTGTGTAGAACTCTCGCACTTCAGGCCGGATGGAGTCAAAGTCCCCGTTGATGAATTCCGGCAGGAAGCTGGAAGGGATGAAGGACACACAGCTGTGAGAACTGTGGGGCCTGAGCCTCCAGCTCTGCTCGCCGGGGTTAGAGAGGGAGCCTGAGCACGCCACAGGCCAAGGGTCATATGCACAACAGAACCACTGTCACAGGACGTCCAAGAGGACACGCCTCATACACCCACAGCACCCAGCCTTCCGGCCTCCAGCTCATCCCTAACGGTTTCTATAAAAGTCTCCCAGCTCTGGGTGGTGAGCTCTCTGACTCAGCTGTGTCTGGCTGTTCTCACTTATCTGCAAAGTACCAAGGGCAAGGCCTGAGTGGGTAGAGGGTAGGATCTTGGGGGCGGAGGAAGGAGCAGGGAGGACCAGGTGGGAACTGGTCGGGAGAGGATGGGGAGGTGAGGAGGGACATGCGTAAGAGACGTGCTTCTGGAGACATAATGACGGTTACAGTCATATGTGACAATGTCATGTGAAAACACTTTATGGAATGAGGAGGGCCATGTGTTTGGCTATGTGTGTTAGTCCTGGCTGACTGGAGAAACAAATCCAGAGACACTCATATGTTTATAAGAAGGAGCTTTATATGCAAGAGCAATTGAATATTGAGAAAACATCCCAGACCAGTCCAGATCAAGTCGGTAAGTCCAGTATTAGCCCATATGTCTGATACCAATCTATAAATTCCTCTTCAGACTCACGCAACACATGCAATGATGCCAAATGCAGGAATATCACAGGCCAGTGGTGGAAAGTCTTGTGGATCCAGTGGTGGTGGGTCTCCTTGTTGTTTCTCCAGCTCCAAGGCTCTGGCTGCCATCAGCCTAGCTCCATGTGGCTTGTCAACAAGAATGTCTCATAGGGATTGAGTGTGCATCCCACCTCAATGAGCTATATATCTCCTTAGCACCTCAAAATGAGGTCATCAAGCCGTGGCCTGATCAACAGGCTAAGCTCCACCCCTTCACTTGTAAGTCTCAAATCGACAACAGATTACGTAACTACCACACTCTGTGTACTGTAATCAGAGTTGTGCGAGCCGCTCCTCCCACAGAAGAGGCAGGGCCGTGTGTTGGACTACGATGTGTAATATAACTATAGACACACTCGCGGCTCCTCACACAGAAATGGCACTTGACATGGGCAGAGAAAACAAACAGACCAAGAGAAAATCGCCAAAGTCTCTTCATACCAGGCTGATTGCGTAAGAAACGCAAACACCGGCGAGTCTGTGAGCAGTGCTGACCCAGAGCCACCAAGGACACGTGGCAGCAACAGTGAGACGGGCACTGACTCAGACACACAGTGGCCACAGTGTGACAGGTGCTTGAGCTGTAGTCACTTGGCTGGTGGGCTCGTGGGTGCTAACTGGTAGGTGGCCTGCATGCAGGGAATCCATGCTGCAGAAAGCAGCAGGGTCTGCAGGCAGCTGGGCAGTGGGCAGAAAGCCAATGCCCATCAACAGAGGGAGGCCTGGAAGGAAGCTGCCTGGACGTCTGGTCAATCACTATGACGAGCTGGCCTCTGGCCACTAGCTGAGTGGGAGGCCCACCACACGCGGTGAAGAGTGTACCAGGAAAACGTAGAAATTATCACTGCAATTTAAACAAACCTCACAGGGACTAACCTCACACGTGGGCTCGTCTGCGTGAATGTGGAGAGAAACCCATGTGCAGTGAACGGGCCAAGCTGTTTGTGCGGCTAAGGGGATTCGAGGTTTCCTCGACTACTTCACTGCTTGTAAAGAACATGAGTCACCACAGTTTTTTAAAAAGGTCAAGAGGAAAAGAGCTGACAGAAATCCAGGCAGATTCAGAAGAGGGTGTGGAATGAGCGAGCACTGCTGATGCCAGGCAGATCCTGGCGGAACACAGACCATCAGAAAGAGGCTCACCTGTGGTCGGCTGACCACGTAAAGGCACGGGACTGCTCGGACCACAGCAAACTCCGGGTAGCTTTCAGAAGGTCGGGAATCCCAGATCATTCCAACGTGGACAACCTGTATGTGACCGAGGGGCGCTCGCTAGAACCGATGAAGGGAAAGGGCAGGGTCTCACATCAGGCACATGTGTGTCATGGCTGTGCCTCTTCAGGTTTACTCAATCTGTGCTGAGCAACAGCCGAAGCTGGACGGCGGGAGACGGGCCTGGCACCCGGCGGGAGGAAGCTTGGTAACAAGCGGGACTGACTGACGATGACACACCTGCTTTCCAGAGCGAAGAAGGCGTCAAGAAGTGACTGATGGGTTCCCTTTAGCATGGACTGCAGCTCCATGAAGAAAGCACACATCCTCACAATGGACCAAGAAGCCACATCACGACTGAGTTATACTCGATTAATGTGGCCCTTCCAGGCCCCATCCCGGTGTGAGACACAGGGATTAGTGGGTCTGCCTGCTGAGGGGCCCGTTCTGGAGGGTGCTATCTGCTAACGGACAGGAACGGGGGTGAGGCTGAGTTCTGACCGTAGTAGAGGGTGTGGATCGGACCACTCCCCTTGTTTAACAGTTATCTCAGTTCCTTACAATGGATGTAGGGAATGAGATGCTAGGCTGCGGAGAAGGAGAACTGTTTGTGGAGTGGCCTGGGGAAAGCCTGGCTGATTCAGGTTAGGAGGAGGCCAGTGCCAGAGGCCCCAGGCCATAAATGCAGAGATAAGACACAGTCCAGGGGTGGAGGATAGATGGTCAACATGTGGGCAAACTGATTGCACCATGTAGTAACTCCCACCAAATAGCCTTCCCTGCATGGGCCTGGTAAAAAGGTGAGAAACAGATAGGATTCACCTGTGAGTCACTGTGAACAGGGTGCCCTGCAGTGCCATCCTGCTGTGTATAAAATGGGCCCACTGGGGGGCAGGGGGCAGAGCCAGGAGTGGAGCCCATCCTTGGGCCAAGCATTGGGCTTACCCGGGCCTGGCCTGTGCACTCTAGAGTGAACTGCACCTGTCACCATGGGAGACACCCCTCAAATTTTCATGAGTTCCAAGGGGCACTGCAGAACCTGGAGGAGCCGGGAGGCAACACACTCCAAGTGGGAGGGGGCAGACATGGAACAGACTCTCATCCTGCAGGAATTGAACTGTAAGAACTTGTTCGACTCTCTGGGACTAGTTTGGGATTAACTTTTTTTTAATAATTTTATTGTGGGCTCGTACAGCTCTGACCACAATCCATACATCCATCCATTCTGTCAAGCACATTTGTACATAGTTTGCCATCATTTTCAAAAGGGATTAATTCTTATGAAATACATCATTACCACAATGATAAACAGAAAGCAATGACGTTGTTGAGGATTTAATCTTCTTTGCATCCACAATCCAGGCCCATGGAAGCAGTTAAGAAATGAAATGAGGTGCAGCACTGGGAATATATGCTGCCTCCCCCCAAAGCAAAGTAGAGCAAAGCAAAGCAAAGCACCAGCTGTTTAAAGAGTCAGGAGCAAAGGCATCACTCTGAGGATTAAGGTGCATCTGGCCCAAGCCATGGCATCCCCAGTCACCACCAATGCATGGAAAGCCGGAAGATGGGAAAGGAAGGCCACCGGGAAATGGGCGGGTCTGAGTTGTGGGCTCGGTGAGGACTATTCAATACACCATGGACTGCCGAATGATCCAGCAAGTCTCACTTGGAAGAAGCAGAGGGAGAATTCTCCTAGAAGCTGGGATGGTGAGGCTTTGTCTTGGGTGCTCTGGATACGTCACAGGGAGAGATCCATCCCTGGGGCAGGGCATCATTCTTGGTAAAGTAGAGGGTACAATGAGTAAGACCATCCCTGAGACAGACTGGCACCGTGGCTGGAACCGGAGGCTCCTGGGTAGGAACGACTGTGGGGATGGCAGAGACTGAGCAGGGGTTTGCTTGGCTGTCCGTAGGGTGGTTCTCATCGGCCTCCGTACCAGCGCATGTGTCAGGAGCTGTCTGCTGCAATGGTGACGTGAAGGCCGCCCGCCACCGGAGGGGCTGGCGGTTCAACCCACCAGGCAGCTCTGCAGGAGGACGCCCTGGCCATGTGCTCCAGGGAAAAGCACTGCAGGAAAACTCGATGGGGAAGCTCTGCTCTGTCACGTGGGGTCATGAAGAGTCACGGGTGTCTGAACAGCCTCCAACACCATGTGCCACACAAGTAGAAACTCTCCCTCCCTTCCTCTGACCACCTGCTGGCATCCAAAGGAGCTCTCTCTCTCTCTCTCTCTCTCTCGGATAAGAAGGAAATCTTGCTAAAGGATGCATTGCATTTCTCCTACCACTTTTGACCTTCTCTGCAGTCAGCTCAGTGGATCGCGTGAGTGCAATGCAAATTGCCTGCACGCTGAAAGCTATCTGTCCCTGCGAGTGCTCGGCACGGGCTTCCGGGCAGGAAGTTTGCTTCCGGGAGAGCAGGAGTGGGGACGAGAGGCAGCCACCGAACCACATGAGGTCGCCCAGTGCACATGTTTCGTTCCAGCCCATATAAACATGAATATACAAATGAGTGATCTATTTCAATACCGGTAGTGTAAATTAATAGTTCAGCAGCATGTACGATGCACAGGCTGCTGCTCTGGCCCAAGTGGGCCCAAGTGGACAGCACCATCTGCAGAGGGTGGGAGGCTTGGGCATAGCCGGCTGCCGGCAGGTGGTCTCTAGCCCTGGGGGGTAGGATGGAAAACTCAGACCCTGGTCTCCTCAGCTGTGGACACAGAGGAGCCTGGGAATGAGGGACTGGGGGGCAGGGGACCTGAGAGAGACCCTGAGTCTCAGGGTGGGTATTCTACACTGTGAGCAAACAGACCCCACGGACAATGAGGACAGAGGACTGGATTGGACCTAGACACCCCATGGCCAGAAATAACCCCGTCACCCAGAGCAGAGAGGCCTGGCAGTAAGCCTGGCATCCAGGAGTCCTCAGAAAAGCTCACACGTGTCGCCACCCTACCCCTTCAGAAAGGGCACAGAGGAAGGCAGAGACGATGTGAGCTATGAAGCCATCAGGGCGCGCTCTCCAAGACCAAGAACCCTGTCGCTGAGATTCA